AAGTTTATTTAAATGAATATAATTTAATAGATAATGAAACTAGTTAAGTTATGATTTCATATCCAATGGATTTAATAATTGATAGACAAGTCAATTTTTGCAAATGCAATAATCCTGAATATTGTTTTATAAATTCAAGTTAAGGATAAACCAAAAAGATATAAAATTTCTCATTAATACCTTCAATAAACAACTAATTTTTTGCTTTACAGAATAATTCATCTATCTATATTTTAGATGCTGATTTTATATATCTATCAAATTTAATTTATGATTATTTAAATTTTAGTGAATGTCTATAATCAACATCAAATAATTACGAATTATATTCAATTAGTGAAAATTATTCTTCATAGTATTGGTTAACTTTTAGTTTAAATTCTTCTGGTATTGTAATTCAACCATAGCTTATTTAACTTTCCTAAACATTTTAAAAAATTATAAAAATATGAAGCCTTTTAAATCAATATTATATCTTAGGAAATATATATAATTAGGATCCCTATTTGTATTGGTTAAACTAAACTACCAACACTTTATAATAAATATCAAATTATACTCTTGCCAGCAGTAAATGTTTAGATTTTTCAATAGGTGAATATATACTAATATTTTTAATACATAATCAAAAGCAATCATTATTTCTTCAATCATTCAGTATGAAGTTACAGAATACAATATGCAACTACCATATTCGGAACCTTTTTATCAATTGATGTTAATTGATGACTAATAAATAAAACTGGCACCTTTGAGATATAATTTTGCGATTAATAATTTGGTTGTTAAGTTTTTAACAGTTTTCCTAAGAATATTCTAATTTTAAAAACAAACCGTAATGATGTACTTTTACTTTTAGGCAGTATTGATATTAGTTTCATAATTTAGCTTAAAGTAAAAGTTTTAAAGTTTAATGATACAAAATCAATAGCTACAGTAATTTAAACTATTCCAAATTATGGCAGTTAATTGAATTTGTGTAATTCATTTTATTCTGATGGTTATTTGATGCAATAATTTCTTTATGATGGTAAATATCTTATTGGATTTTATAATTTAAATAATTTAGCAATAGATAAGATATAAGAACCCATTTTTGATGTATAATTCATTCACATCATTATCAAATTAATATGCAATGATAATAAATTGATTCATATTAAAATGGAATTTGGTTAAGTCTATATAACTAGTCTATGTAATCATATTCAATTAATACCTGGAATATTTCTACAATTATTTTTACAAGTAAAAATGATATTAATGTTTCAATATCTTGTTCTAATTATGTTTCAGATGGTATTTATAATATTACATTCCATCTACCTCCATATTTCGATTTAAATTTTAGAAAATGGATTTATGCTTTGCTATTTATCATAGTTCTACTTATAGTGTTATTTTGCTTTAAAATTTAACAATAAAGAAGGAAATTTAAAAGTATTGATTATGAAATTGAATTATGAGGTTAAATAAGTATTCAAAAAACAATTAATATATTAATCATATGTATTTTCATTAGTTTAATTATTCTTTATTTTTTTAAAGGTCATCTCATCTTTAGGCAATAAATATCTCTTATCAAAAGTAATCTCTTAATTAAGAATGTTATATTTTATAAATCTCCATTATTATAATCAAATTTTAAAATTGATATATTCTACAAATAATTTACAATTCATCATAGTTTTTCTAATCAAATTATCTTCTTCAAATTACTTATAATTCTGAAATAATAATATTTTTAATACATATCTTCCTAAAATCTAAAATAGAATAGGAAATTAAAAAATTTTCATCTCTTTATGGGTAATATAAACTTGAATAGCGAATATGGTTATTTTTTAAGTTATTTTTGAATTAAAATTGATTTAAATTTTCAAGATATTTAAGTTAATTAAAAGTTTATGGAACACTGATCTTTTTTACTAAAAGCCTATATGGTTATATATTATATAGGATGTTAAGGTTTTTATTCTTCCATATATTGTTAAAATCAACATCTTATGATTTATGACAACTTTATCATCAATTTCAACTTCCAGAAAAATAGTCAAGAATTTGCACTCCATAAACATTAAATTTCTTGTTAAGAAATTTCCCCTATTTTGAAATTAAAATCTTCTGATTATCAATTTAATAAGCTCATCTTTTTAGGAATTAATTAAGACTTTTAGATGCATCAAGTTTACTTTTTTCTCTTGAATCCAAATAATTTAACAAATCACTGATATTAAATATAATTAGAGAAATTTATTTAAAAATTAAATAATTTGCATTCTAGATAACTCTAATGAATTTTATATCTTAGAATAGTTTGTTTTGATTTAAATTTATAGAAAATTTATTTAGTTACCCAGAATTATATTTATGACTAACACTACATGAGAAGCAAGTTGGAAATAAAAAGTAATAATTAATTAATTATATATATATGAAATTATCTGCTATATTTAAATTATAAATCATATTATACATCTTTTAACTTGGAAAATAGTAAAACCTATTAAGCTTCGAAAATATGATAATACAAAAATTCATAAGTGGCCACCCTTAATACAAAAGGTATAAATTGTAAGAGAAAGCTATATTTATATTTTGATTTTATTTATGGATGAATATTAATGTTAATAATCACATAGATTGTAAAAACCTACTTATTCTAATTCATCAAAAATAAATGTTTTCAAAAATTAAGGATGCCCATTTTTCAATTTTCTCTATTGTAAAAAAAGTTTTACAAAAATTTATTGCACTAATATTTATTGTATATTCTTGGAATGAATTAGAGATTGTAAACTACATTACCCCTTTTTAGATAGTCTTTTCAGAATTTTTCTAAAAGAATATTATTATTTCTTACCTAAAGGACTATTATTAATTTTCCTAATTTTGTCAAGAAGGTTTCTTGGAAGATCAGATTCTGACAAAATTTTGTGATTTCAATTTACTTAATTACATAATTAGGTCTGTAATATAAATTACATAAGTACTTGTTAATTATTCCTTACTGAGTTTGACTTAATAACTTATATTAGTACCAGAAAAGTAACAATCAAATCATTTATTCCTTAAAATTTGTTTTATAGGGGGATAAACAAAAACAATTTATTTAAATAAAATAATAGAAAATGGGAATTACTTGTTCAAATCATTAGAATCTGATAAGAGAAATAGACAGGATAGATAAGTAAACAATTTTTCCTTAAATTTTTTGAAGTAGTGGTCCGCTTAACCACAATAATATCTCAGAAGATTCAACTAAAGAAGAATGTGAATGTTTATTTTGGAATAAAAAAAAAGCTAAATGGCAGCGCAACAAAATATAAATCGCTATTACTAAGGTTAATGATGACTATGAAGTTAAGTATATTTTAGTTCGATAAATTTTAAGAATGTATATACTTCAATTAATAAAAAATAGAGAATAGTAAAAAGGAACTTTTGCTAGACCATAAGTTTTAACTAATTTATTTCAAATTTATTATCTTGAATGGCTTGGAAAATATGAAGAAAATTCTAAAAACGTAGGAAAATGGACAGTTATTTGGAAGGGAGAATAAATCATAGAAGTGGGTGGATATTAATGAGAGGTAAAAAATTGGGATTTGGAAAGAAATAATAAACAATTATTCTTCGTAAATCAATTTATTTAAATTATAAAGAGAGACTCAAGTTTATCAAATTGGATAATACTTAGATAATTTGAAAATAGGAAAATGGATATATATTTTAAAGGAGAATATAAAAATGGTAAAAAAGTTGGCAGATGGGATATTTTCTATAAAAATCATGTTGCAAATTATTAACTAAAGATGTATATTTTAAAAAAAAGAATTTTAGTGGTGGTGGAGTGGTGGTGGATCATTTGATTAATAGAAATAGGGGTTTAAGATTGGGAGTTGGATTGAATAGAATGATATAATTAATTAAAGGATGTAAATCATCTAAACTGGTTAATATCATAATGGTAATAAAGTGGGTCAATGGGTGGGGATGGATATAAAGAATAATAAAAGTAGAAGTATAACCAATTATGATAATTGAAAACTATTATCATTAAAAATAAGATCAACTAATATATTTTAAGAATTTTATTGTTAATGTTAGAGGTTTGACTGTTTCATGAAGTTTCTATTTATTTTTATGCTTTATTTCTTCGTTTGGAGTAATAACTGAATAAACTTGTCTAAATTGGTAAGGGATTCTTTAGTAAAGTATTTGAGAATTTATTTAGTATTATTCTGTTTNCACTAATATTTATTGTATATTCTTGGAATGAATTAGAGATTGTAAACTACATTACCCCTTTTTAGATAGTCTTTTCAGAATTTTTCTAAAAGAATATTATTATTTCTTACCTAATGGACTATTATTAATTTTCCAAATTTGGTCAAGAAGGTTTTTGAGAAGATCAATTCTGACAAAATTTTGTGATTTCAATTTACTTCATTACATAATTGGGTCTGTAATATAAATTACATATGATCTTGTTAATAATTCCTTACTGAGTTTTACTTATTTAACTAATATTAGTGTCAGAAAAGTAACAATCAAATCATTTATTCCTTAAAATTTGTTTTATAGGGTGATAAACAAAAAAAATTTATTTAAATAAAATAATAGAAAATGGGAATTACTTGTTCAAATCATTAGAATCTGATAAGAGAAATAGACAGGATAGATAAGTAAACAATTTTACTGAAATTTTTTGAAGTAGCGGTCCACTTAACTACAATAATATCAGAAGATACAACCAAAGAAGAATGTGAATGTTTATTTTGGAATAAAAAAAAAGCTAAATGGCAGTGCAAAAAAATATAAATCGCTATTACTAAGGTTAATGATGACTATGAAGTTAAGTATATTTTAGATGGATAAATTTTAAGAATGTATATACTTCAATTAATAAAAATAGAGAATTGTAAAAAGTAACTTTTGCTAGACCATAAGTTTAACCAATTTATCTCAAATTTATTATCTTGAATGGCTTCGAAAATATTAAGAGAATTCTAAAAAGGTAGGAAAATGGACAGTTATTTGGAAGGGAGAATAAATCATAGAAGTGGGTGAATATTATAATAAATAAATTAATTAAGATATTATATGATAATTAGGGATAAAAATTGGTATTTGGAAAGAAATAATAAACAATTATTCTTCGTAAATTAATTTATTTAAATTATAAAGAGAGACTCAAGTTTATCAAATTGGATAATACTTAGATAATTTGAAAATAGGAAAATGGATGTATATTTTTGAGAATGAGTAGATGTAAATAATTCATAATTTTACAGCGGTGGTGGAAGATACAATTAATAAAATTAAAAAGAAGGACTATGGATTGAGTTGAATGATAAATTGTTGGAGTATTTTTTGGGTTAATTATTAAATAATTAGATTAAGCTAAGTAACTTATAAAGGAGAATATAAAAATGGTAAAAAAGTTGGTTTATGGGATATTTAATACAGGAACAATAATAATGTATCTTTTTATTAGATGTAAAATTTCATTAATAATAATCTATAAATACCTCAGTGGTGGAGGATCGTATGAATATTAAATAAAAGGGGATTCTATTAAATTTAGGATATGGAATGTAATTAGCGATGTGTTTTATGACGATTCGTAAATTATTTTCAGTGGGGAATCCACATTTTAGTTGAATAAATGAAGGATTTATAAAGTACAATTAATTGTGAGAAAATGAAGATAAATATAAAGAATCATAAATTATTCATTTTTAATTTCTTTAAAACCAACGAATTCTTTTAGATGCAATAAGCTCAGCACTTTTGGTTCTTACTTCTAAATTGAAAGTATTGATTTAGGAAGATTTTGATTCATGCTTAATTAATAATCTTTCTTTTAGGCTAAGTTCTTTTGAACAGTATGATATTTTGATGTCTCAATCTACTTTTGAGGAGTTTATTATTAAATTAATAATTGAAAAATAAATTACTAAGTTAAGGACTTTATAATTGGAACTGCTGTTTACTTATAAAATAATGTTTTTTTGGATATATTTAATTTGGTAAAACTTAAATTGCTTTAAATTTTCTGTTAAAAAGGATTTAAAATTTTGGTTTATAGCGACATATTATTTTAATAATATTCTCTTCTCAGGTTTATCTTAACCCTTTTTTATAAATATAGAATTCTATTTTTATATTCAATCTCTTCATACGTTTAATACCTTGTCTATAATTTTTGGCATTAATACCTTTTTATTCCAAAATCCTTTTTTTCACCAGACCCTTTAAAAATCAAGATGAAAATTAACAAAACTTTTTTTTTAATTAATACTTTAATTTAAATTAATCATTCTTATTCATATTGACTTTTTTGTACTTAATCAGTATATCTTTTCACTCATTTTTCTATCTGTAAGGTTAATTTAAATTAACTGTGAATAGATATAAAATTTTTATTCAAAAACAAAGCTCGTTTTATATCTTTACCAACTTATTTAATTTAGGATTGTAGATTTTTAGAGAACTAGAATCTTAAACAGTTCTTATAGTCAATTGATAGCGATTATATTAGATGATAATAATGAGGAATGTTAATTGGAAAGGTTGAAGGACAACTTATTCATTTATGGTCCGTTAGATAATAAAGAAATGGATTTAGGTGAACGAAATTTTAGGGTTAGCTTAGTAGTGACCATTTGAAAATTATCAATGTATAGAAACCTCTTGATGTGATGAAATAGTAAATCAATTAGATAAATATCAACCTAACTTGCCATTATTGTGGACAATATGACGTTTAAATTTATAGCAAAATTTTGGAGAGTGTTTGCTTAAATTTTAATGAGGTAAAGGAATTATCGTAAGAGTATAATTAGAAGATTAGTAAATTAAAAATGAAACTTATTTATGAAGGTAAAATGAATGGCTAGAAATTCATAAGTTCTGCAGAATAATTAGTTTGCAATTTGTTAATATTTTCTTAATTTACAAATAAGACATCTATTTTTTCACTAAAACAACTCAAATACATATAGTAATTACTAATTTAAACAAAAATTTTACCTCAAATTCTGATAATCTTTATTTGTGAGATAGATTTTCCTATTAATTGAGAATAAGCTATTTATACTCTTCAAACTTATAGCTTTACATTGTGTCTGATTTTTTAATTCTTAATTTCAGATATCCTTAAATTAGAGAATATTCATTTAATATTTAAAATTGGATTCAAATTATTTATTGATATTCTCCTTAAAAATAATTGTTATCTAATCTCATCAATCCAAAAGAAATAATATTTAAATTGGGAAAAAGGATAAAGTTAAAAATAAGGAAAATTAAAGATTATTATTTTAGAAAGTAGAATAATTCCAATGGAATCTAGTTAGTTAAAATATACTTAAACTAAAAGTATTTTTTTTTGACAAAATTTTTAAATATTCTTACTTTAACAAATTTTAGTTAACAGATCAAATGCTATAGAAAATGTATTATGTGAGGATTATAATTTGAGATCAAGTATGTAGATAACAAGCTTAAGGAATATCATAAATTTTTAAGTTAAATATCTATTTAAATTCAAAAAAAGGTTTAACCTATTTTTCTGAAAATATTATTGATAATCTTGCTATTTAATATGAACAATATGATAGTTTGATCAAGATATTTATCTTTTGTATCAATTTCAATAAGGGAAATCATAATATTCTAGGTTACAAAATTTAACTAACCCTCTTAACGATAATACTTAAAAATCCATTCTATTGAGTATGATATTCAATTTACATATTATGATTACTTAATTTGAATTTTTTTGCTAATTAATTAGGAAATTATGATTACAAAATTGTAAACCTAAAAAAATTCTTTAGAGATTAGTGATGTTATTTATTATAAAGATATATTCAAAATTATAAACCTAATAATATAATTGNGATTTGTTATAATTATTTATAACTTAAAGGAGTTTAATTTTATTAAAACTTCCTCTCTTCATATATCAAATATTTTGACTTATGATTGCACATGGTTTTATTAAATGTATTTTGTTATTAAAATATAAAATAACTGTAAATACCTGGTTAAGTTTGGTCTGGAAAAATAAACTACAAGCTTCAAATGGAACTATTCTTATTTATTTATGGTCCGTTAGATAATAAAGTAATGGATTTAGGTGTACGATATTTTTTAGGGTTAGCTTAGTAGTGACTATTTGAAAATTATCAATGTATAGAAACCTCTTGATGTGATGAAATATTAAATCAATTAGATAGATATCAGCCTAACTTGCCGTTATTGAGGACAATATGACATTTAAATTTATAACAAAATTGTGAAGAGTGTTTGCTTAAATTTTAATGAGGTATCGCTAAGGAATTATTGTAAGAGTATAATTAGAAGATTTGTAAATTAAAAATGAAACTTATTTATGAAGGTAAAATGGATGGCTAGAAATTCATAAGTTCTGCAGAATAATTAGTTTGCAATTTGTTAATATTTTTTTAATTTACTAATACTATTTTTTCACTCAAACAACTCAAATAAATATAGTAATTACTAATTTAAACAAAAATTTTACTTCAAATTCTGATAATCTTTATTTGTGAGATAGATTTTCCTATTAATTGAGAATAAGCTATTTATACTCTTCAAACTTATAGCTTTACCTTGTGTCTGATTTTTTAATTCTTGATTTCTGATATCCTTAAATTAGATATATTAATTTAATATTTAAATTGGATTTCAAATTATTTATTGATAATCTCCTTTAAAATAATTGTTATCTAATCTCATCAATCCAAAAGAAATAATATTAAAATTGGGAAAAAGGATAAAGTTAAAAATAAGGAAAATTAAAGATTATGATTTTAGAAAGTAGAATAATTATAATGGAATCTAGTTAGTTAAAATATACTTAAACTAAAAGTATTTTTTTGACAAAATTTTTAAACATTCTTACTTTAACAAATTTTAGTTATCGGATCAAATTCTATAGAAAATGTATTTGTGAGGATTATAATTTGAGATCAAGTATGTAGATAACAAGCTTAAGGAATATCATAAATTTTTAAGTTAAATCTCTATTTAAATTCAAAAAAGGCACTTAACCTATTTTTCTGAAAATATTATTGATAATCTTGCTATTTAATATGAACAATATGATAGTTTGATCAAATATTTATTTTTTGTATCAATTTCAATAAGGGAAATCATAATATTCTAAGTTACAAAATTTAACTAACCCTCTTAACGATAATACTTAAAGAATCCATTCTATTGAGTATGATATTCAATTGACATATTATGATTCCTTAATTTGAATTTTTTTGCTAATTAATTAGGTAATTATGATTAAAAAATTGTAAACCTAAAAAAATTCTTTAGAGATTAGTGATGTTATTTATTATAAAGATTTATTCAAAATTATAAACCTAATAATATAATTGTTAAATTCAATCATTTTGAATGGTGAAATAATAAATCATTGTTTTGTCGAAAAATTACATATATCAAGATGATCTATCAAAATAATTAAAAAGAATTTCTTATAACTTTTTGACCCATATTCATCAGATTATTGAATCTTTTATTATTAACCTATCAATGAGATCAATAAATTGTGATGTTAAATTGATAATTTAAGAGCAAATGTAATATCTATTTGATAGTTTCAATCATATGATTTTTTTGTTTCTATAGTGGAGAAGAGGATTAGTAACTCACTTTGAAAATCTGAATATAAGAACTCTTAAATAAGATAAATCTTGTTTATAATATATGATTTAATTCTATAGAGCGAAATTTTTAGGAAAGCCTAATAGCTTTTTTTAAATACAATAAGTGAATTTTTGAACAACTGATCAAAATGTGCACTCTACTGTACTATAAATAATAAACTTGAATTTAGTTCTCTCCAGTGATTATATTTTGGTAAAAATATAAATATTGAATCAGCACTTAATAGATATTGAAATAATTAATCAAAATAATTGTAAGTAAATCTATAAATTACAATATTCAGCAAATGAGAAAGGTTTTTATTTGTTTTATTAAAGAGATTCTAATCTTTTACTCTAGTTAACTAACATCTTATAATAATGAAGCAATTTAAGAAAATGAATTGTCAATTAATTATAAATTATATTGATGTAAAATAGATATTGAAAGGATTAGTTTCAAATAATCAAAAAATAATTTTATATTTTCTTGAAGCATTTTCTTACACCTCACTATATTACAATCTAAAAAAATATTAATTATAAATCTTTCTATTATTTTATTTGATTAGATAAATATATTTAATGAAATTTTTGCTTTTGTTTTTCTTATTAGGTTTCTCAGATTTTTCTACATTACCAGCTTCTGATGCTAACGCAAAATTTTCTTAAAATGATCTTTATGTTTTAAGAGAAAAATCTATTATTAGGGGACATTACAAAGATGTAGCTTCGCAGTTCAATGGTGCTTTACTATCCTCAGCAAGAACAATTTCATTTTGGGAATCAGGAATTGATAATAGTCCTTTAAGAAATTTGCTCTATTATACACCCAATTATTTGGTAATTGGGCATGTTGTTGCCTAACTTAGTAAATCAATAATTGTGTAATTTTTATAAGCATATGAAATAAATACTGTAAGATTTTGGATGTGGGATGGTGATACTAGATAAACAGATATTCAAGTTTTTACAATAGCAAAAGATGGTTAGACTGAAAACATCATTTTTGATGGTTTTACCTAACAAAATATAATGGTTGTAAAATTTTCTGATTAATTGGTATCAGGATTGAGATTTTACAATCGAGGAGGGAATACTAAAGGCACATAATCTATGTCAATCATAAAAATATAAGCCTTCTACGCTTTTTGATTTATAAATATCCATAAAAATAACAATAACTTCATCATCTGAATAACGAAAGATTTATACAGTGTATTTGTTTGGTTTAATCAGATTCAATATATAATGTTGTTTAACTTTATTAATATTTTGAATTGACATTATAATAATTNATTAATAACTCACTTTTAATAAAACAAATAAAAACCTTTCTCATTTGCTGAATATTGTAATTTATGGATTTACTTACTTTTATTTTGATTAATTATTTCAATATCTATTAAGTGCTGATTCAATATTTATATTCTTACCAAAATTTAATCTCTAAAGAGAACTAAATTCAAGTTTATTATTTATAGTATAGATAAGTGCACATTTTGATCAGTTGTTCAAAAATTCACTTATTGTATTTGAAAAAAAAGTTATTAGGCTTTCCTAAAAATTTAGCTCTATAGAATTAAATCATATATTATAAACAAGATTTATCTCATTATAGAGTTCTTATATTCTAATCTTTTACTGTAGTTAACTAACATCTTAGAATAATGAAGCAATTTAAGAAAATGAATTGTCAATTATTTATAAATAATATTGATGTAAAATAGATATTGAAAGGATTAGTTTTAAATAATCAAAAAATAATAATATATTTTATTTAAGCATTTTCTTACACCTCACTATATTACAATCTAAAAAAATATTAATTATAAATCTTTCTATTATTTTATTTGATTAGATTAATATATTTAATGAAATTATTGCTTTTGTTTTTCCTATTAGGATTCTCAGATTTTTCTACATTACCAGCTTCTGATGCTAACGCAAAATTTTCTTAAAATGATCTTTATGTTTTAAGAGAAAAATCTATTATTAGGGGACATTACAAAGATGTAGCTTCGCAGTTCAATGGTGCTTTACTATCCTCAGCAAGAACGACTTCATTTTGGGAATCAGGAATTGATAATAGTCCTTTAAGAAATTTGCTCTATTATTCACCCAATTATTTGGTAATTGGGCATGTTGTTGCCAGACTTAGTGAATCAATAATTGTGTAATTTTTATAAGCATATGAAATAAATACTGTAAGATTTTGGATGTGGGATGGTGATACTAGATAAACAGACATTCAAGTATTCACAATAGCAAAAGATGGGTAGACTGAAAACATTATTTTTGATGGTTTTACCTAACCAACTATAATGGTTGTAAAATTTTCTGATTAATTGGCATCAGGTTTGAGATTTTACAACCGAGGAGGGAATACTATAGGCACATAATATATGTCAATCATAAAAATATAAGCCTTCTACGCTTTTTGATTATAAATATCCATAAAAATAACAATAATTTCATCATCTGAATAACGAAAGATTTATATAGTGTATTTGTTTGGTTTAATCAGATTCAATATATAATATTGTTTAACTTTATTTATATTTTGAATTGACATTATAATAATTCTATTAATGAAAACCATTCATAATAGTAATTTTTATAATTTTTAGTATATTTAATCTAAATCTAAGATTAGTTTTATGAATAATAATATATACAATTTATCATCTTATAGATTTAATACAAAAACTTTAGTATAATATTTTCACAGTAAATAATTATAAGATAAGAATCATTGAATTTGTATCTAACATTAGGAATTTTTAGGGGTTGTAGTTTATATTTTTTTGAAGAATTAGATTGAGTTATTAAATTATAATTTTAAATCTAGAATTTTTTTGTCTTTTAGATATTGACTGAGTATCGAACTAACTCATTTAATAAAAGAATCCATGTTAGGTAGTTTATCATTTTATACCAATTTCATTGCAAATTTAGTTCAAGTTGATATGTTAGCTAGATATTTTTGATTAATATAAAAAATAATTTTGTAGTAAATTATATTCAACCAATCTTGAAATGATTTCGAAATTTTATTTCAATAAAGTAAAAATAATTTACCTACTGCATCTATCTTGGCAAAGAGCCCAAAAATTCTTTATAAATCTAATAAATCAATTTACAAAAATTTATGGAATTAAAATATCACTTTGAAATTCATTTCGCCTTAGAATATGGATTTTAATTCATTTATTATCTTCATAATATTAACAATGTATTTATATTACTTAATTTATCAAAGCATTAGTTCTTATAAATTTAATTAATAATTACATTCTAATTAAAAAATAGTCCTGTTTCTTATTTATATATCTAATCTATTATTTATAACACTAATAATTTATAAAATAAAAATTCATTTTTGATGTTTTTAGTGATTTATTCATTTCCTAATGCTTTATTTGCTCTAACAGTTGGTTAAGTGATGGTTCCAGGCCTATCGAAAATAAATTATAAATTTTCAATCCAGTTTTGGTCAGAGCAGCTCTTTGTAAAATATCTGTTGAATTTAGTATAATTTGACTAACATCATTAAATATTATCTTTTAAATTCTTTTAGTATGAATGATTTGAATATATGAGAGTAATTTCAGATTCGAAAATCGGCATATTTTGGTTAAATCAATAAATTAATAATATAAAGTAAATTTGAGACTCCTCATTTGAGAGATAAAATAAATTTTAAAGTTGAGGACAGATTGAAATTTATTTTCCTTATAATATATTGAACTTTCTGACTTCCCTATCATAGAAGAAATATAAACTTTCTTCAAGCCTTCTTAAGTCTATTTCCTGATTAAAATTAGTTCAAATTCAATATTTTAGAATATACTAAAGAGTTCTTCACTTTATTGTAAAAATGACTTTATTTAATGTTTACTGTTGATCCATCTTCTATGAATTTAGATAAACTTGAATGATAAATAGTAAAATTCTATAAAATAATTAACATAAATTAAGAGGTGTATTATTTTATTATATTTACAAATTTTAGAAAATTAAAAATCAAGAGATTAGTGATTAGAATCTTAAATTATATCAAATGTAATAATGAATTTATCTAATTTTGAATTATTTTTCAATCATTTCTCTAAAAAATTTTGAGTTAATTCTTCTTTATTCTTGTCTTTTGTATAAAGTTTCAAATCTTGTTTATTAATATCAATTTTTAAGGCGAAATATATTGAATTTAAGGTATAATATCTAATACTTTTGATATCAATTAAAAAGTTATCAAAAGAGAATCTTTTAAAAATTATTCAATCTCATAGTTGTAACTTTTTTAATAGTTTGTATTAATTCTAGGATTAATTATTATCTTAACATATCTTTTTACTATTTGTGTTATTAAATATATCTTTATTTATGAACTGAAAAACCAAATTATAAAACTATTAATTATAATAATTAATACCAATCCCTTTTATATATAATAATACATTAAGTAAATCTATCATAATATCTTAGATGATTTAATAAGCAAGTAGTTTTGTTAAGTTACTTTTCTATAAGTAATGATTTCACAGTTGCTTTTAAACTCTTTGTTGTGCTAACCTTTGTAGAAAATTAATTTAATGTAGTATCATTAAAATTTAACTTAATATAAATATTAATTGATAACAGTTTTTATGACATTTAAATATATATTCCCTACAATAGGTAGATATTTCCACACATTTAACTAAAATAGAATACAACTTTGGAAAATATGTATTTACCTATCTTAAGAGAGGAAAGAAATAATTAAATTATATTAGATATTGATCGTTATTGTATTTCTATTAGTGGTTAACAATGTCACTTTTACTAAAATTTTTCTAAAATGCAACTTCCTTTTTGTTTCAATAATGTCTTTAAATCAATTTCAGAAATAAAAATAGGGCAGTAGTTTGAAAAAGCAAATTCAAGAGTTTTATCAGAAGGCTTGCTTTTTTTAGATGTAGATCAGTCTTGGATTATTGACTAGGATCATTATCCAGATGGAGTATGGATGACCAATGTCTTTTAATCTTTGATTTCATTTAATATATAGATTATTAATCCATTCTAAATTTAGTAGAGATAAGGTAATTTTTTATTAAATTACAAGGAATGATTGAAACATCTATCACATCTTTAGCTAGATAGTCAAAAAGTAGGTTTTTAAAAGGTCTAAGACTTAATTTAATTAAATAATATTTAGACAGATTTAAATCGGTTTGGATAAAATGTAAATATGGAGAATAATGGACTTTTAGCCATCTGATTATGCACGACTCCGATTTATTTGAGAAATTTGAGTAAGAGTTAGATAGTTATCTACTTTCTGGCTCTGAAATCTACTCACTGTAGTTTTATTAAGATTTTGTTTGCGAGAGCATACAAATTCTTTATGAGAGATTTAATAATCTAGTTTTGAGACATTAAGAACCTGTTTAAGCCTAGACTTGAGAGATTCATATTATTCATTTTATTATTATTATGTCTTTAAGCATTTTTAATAATTTTAATATATGATGTGTATAGAGACTTAAGTTGGCATTCCCTCTTATAACTTGATAAGCTAAATAGTCTTCTTGCCCTATTGCTCATAAAATTCCTATGTTTCTAATTCGCTTTTCGATGATTGCAAATTGTTATTTCTTCCTCAATTACCAAAATTTTTTTGATAACAAAGATGGGAGAAAAATTTTGTAGATTCTTTCAGCTTTTAATTCTGTTGGAAAATGAGTATCAATGTAATTCTTAATCCACAATATTAAATAGAAAAAATAAGGAATTAAAGACGTTCTTATGATACAACACTAAAATTACTCTTAAATTTCAATACTTTCTAACTCTTAAACTTATTCTGTTAATAGAATTATCATTTCTTTTGTTCTTTTTGCTAATTCATTAATTTTATTGAGGATATTAGGAAAATATTTAATTTTCAAATTACTTCTTTTCAATATATCGTTTTCACTTAACTAGTAAAATTATTATTTTATTTCACTTTAGAATAACCCTATACAGTCTCTTTGATGTAGCAAATCACTAGCTATTTGCTTTTAAGTAAAAGAATTTTTCTTCCTTCTAAGTTCCAGACTAAATTTCAAGAATTGTTCATTTATAGAATCTCAAATTGCATTAGGTCTGAAACCAAATTAATCCTTTATTAAATTCTTCATTAGGTATTCATATAGGTAGTCTTAAATATTTTTTATCGATGTGATATACAATCTTTATCATTTTTTAACATGGGCACAAGAAAAGTATCTCATAAGAGACGTCACATAGTCTAAGTGTGGCTTGATAAATGAATTCCATCGTTGAGTCATATGCCTGATAGGAAGAAAGCGATTTGAGCTTACCAATTTGCTGCTGAAATATTTAATTGTATTTTTAATCAGTTATCTATGATGTTCTATTGATCCTTTGGCAGAAATTAAGACTCCTAAGTATTTAAAACAAATTGATCTAGTTATACCCTTAAGATCATATTTTGCATCCATTTTCTTAATAATAGTAAGATAATTGGATTTAGAAATATTAACTTTAAAGTTATACTCCAATGGCAATCCAATTAATTTATCTATTAACTAGCTAGTTTATGGGCCAAAAGTTGATATCGCAAAATCATTAATATAAAAAATAATCTTAGTCATCTAAGTTATTTAAAAGTTAAATCTGTTTCAACATTTTTTTCTTTAATTTCTTTGACAACATTTTAAGCCTAACTAACTTATAAAGTTCTACATTAGTTAGTCAAAATAAATATCAAAGAAAAAGGGTGCTAATGCACACCATTTTATAGATACCCATTTTTTTTCACAGGATCATAT